GAAGCGTAGCTTATTTAATGACACTATTCATGCTCTTGTTCAAGAGGCTTGTAATACCTAGGGTGCCTCAATGTCCTTCTGTTTAGGGTGATGCCACCCTTTGTAGTACCCGATGCCGACAGCACGCGCTCACGGGGAAAATACAAAGAAATCGACGAAAACAAAATGTCGCCATAGCACAATCAGCGCCACGAGCGCGTGCAGGGACACGCTCTTTCACGCGCTTCTGAACAAAAAATAAAAATAAAAGTGTGGGACAAAATGGCCAGATGTCGTGCTCCAACTAGGGTGCCTTCATGTGCGCTTTGCTTAGGGTGGAGACATCTGGCCATTTTGTCTCACACTTTTATTTTTATTTTTTGTTCAGAAGCCCGTGAAAGAACGTGTCCCTGCACGCGCTCGTGGCACTGACCATGCTACGGCGACATTTTGTTTTCGTCGATTTCTTTGTATTTTACCCGTGATCGCGTGCTGTCGGCATCGGGTACTACAAAGGGTGGCATCACCCTAAACAGAAGGACATTGAGGCACCCTAGCTTCAACCTAAGCAAAGAGCACATGAAGGCACCCTAGTAATACCTGAAGGGGCCATGACGTAAGCCCCGTGGACTCAACAAGCCTTTTGACACCTGCCTCTTCTTCATTGTTCCCGCTTGTGCCAGTAAATTAGCTACGGTTCAGAGTAACGACACTTGGCCATATTGTGGCTTCAAATCATGGTTGCCAGTTATATGAAGCTTTATCTAAAATCACAGGAAACGCTTTTCCGTCCCTCACAAATGTTTAAACAACCCGCGATAGACCATTGCAATAATGCATCAGCTTCCTAGCACCGCATCTAATGCTGAGGAAGTCGTACTTTTGGATCATGATGATCGGCAGTTGCGTTTGCTCTGAGCAAGACCCAAAATGGCGGCGCCCAAAACAATTTTGGGGAACGGAGTGCCGATACTTTAAAGCTCATTTAGTGACTCTAGGCATAAAGTGAACTCGGGTGTATTCTTTTCCTCTTCGTCTTCATTGTTTATTGATTTCAATCATATCAAATAATGGACACATTATATCACGCTAGGCTTGTGTAATTATTTGTCTTAGATATATTAGGCTGACCCAGTAGTTAAACCATTCAGTTATTGATAGTAAATCTTCCAATATATTTTTTAAATGTGAAGGTAAAAAGACACGGACATTGATGATGATACAGACGCCAACGCCGCCATCGGAAATTTTTTTAACATTAGAAATCAGCAGTTTGTCTGCCATCCGCCAGGTAGCGCCACAAAACACCCAAACAGTTTTTAATTGTTTTTAAAATTAGCTAAGCTCTACACCTATTAAGAAACCAAAGCAAGATCATTGTGGAAATTTATTACATCGCAATGTATATCTATTCCAAACAATAAATGTTATTAGATGCCCATAAATCTGTTAGATGTCCAAAAAAGATATGCGTCAAAAACAGGTAAGTTTGAAGGGCTCCTGGAGCGTTATGACTTTGAAAATGAAAAAAAGCCGTCGTCCACCTCTTGGGCAACCATTGTAGCTCTAAATGTTATAGAATATTTTATCATAGTTTAATTATTTCCTCAGCGGCATTTGAAGTACCATGACTCAAAGCACAAAAAAGTGCTACGTTTGATATAAAATATCTAAACAAAAAAAAAAAATTATACAACATTAAATTTTTTTTTTGAATATTACCAATTATAAGCACTACATCTGTAGCTAATTTCATTGCCCTAGCGCGTGTCATTAAACATATTTGTGCTGAAAAATGTCAATTTTAAGGCAATATTTGGAGGGATGAAAAAAAAAACAAAGTAGCGCAAATACCAAAAAAGTGTATCGTTACATTCGGCTCCGACATCATCTTAACAAAACTGCTATATTGGAACCGTGTTATCTTTAATGGATCGTTCATAAAACATGAACTAGCGGAGCAAGTGAGGGTCCGCGCCATCATATTCGCAACGCTACAAATGCGCATGACCAGTAAAAACCAACACATACATAATATCAAATGAAAGAGGATTGCATTGTCTTTCGAATGACATCAATCCCACAAAACAGTATTTAAAAAGAGATGAGTAATGACCTGCTAAAAAGTGCCTAAACTTCCACATTCAGTGGGACCGTGGCCTTAAAGGGGCCCACCAACAATTTTTTGACCGGTTTGAAGTTCGCGCTGAAACGGAGCTCCATGAAAGCAGGAACACCGAGCAAAAAAAAATATTACAGAGATTCGCAATATTTTATGAGTTATTAGAAAAGCTAAATATTGCAGAAAACAACTTTAAATAAGCAAAACATTGCGCTTCATGACGTAAAATGAAACAGTGTAGCGATTGGGGTAAAGCGGTTGGCTAATTGGAGCAAAGCGCCGGCCCGGGCGATTGGAGCAAAGCGTCGGCCCGGTCGGCTCGTCGGCCATTAGGCCTAACTGCAACCATCGTAGCTTTGGGATCGGGTGGCCATCATCGATGAATTTACCGGGCTTATCGGATTTTGAGTGCGGAGCTGGGCGTCGCGCCGTACGAGGACACTCCACGCAAGCGCCGCGACGCGTCTCTGCCTCGGTCCGCTTCGACTGCCGCGGAAGACTCGTCTCCCGCAACTCCGCCACCGGAGCCACCTCGGCGAGTAGGAGCTACAAACTTGTGAGCGGTCCCGTTTGGCACAAGCTGGGTCCCGTCGCCGCACTTCACTCGAAGAGTGAAAAGTCTGTCACAGCACTAAAAGAAAATAAGGGTTCCCCTGGCTCCTCTTACTGCTTTTAGTTGGCCGGGACCGGGGGCGCACAAGTGAAAATACGGTGCGCGTTGTCTGCATGGATCACTTGTCGTCTGCTCGCGATGGTATGTCGCGGACGCCGCTGAGAGGCGCGCATGAGCGACAAGGCGTTGTTTTCGCCCTTTTTGAACTTTACTTTGCAACTTTATTAGCTCTATAAAAATGACTTGTTAGAGAAATAATGACGGTTAGCGTGTGATATACTTTATTTCGCTTCAAAATTCCTGGGACGGCTCTCGCCAATCACGAAACCCAGAGAATGTGACGTATAGTGAAAGGAAGCGCCGTTATGCGCGCGCATTCGGCACCTCACGGCGCCACGGTCGGAGGAGGTGTTTCCGAGTTGTCAAATTAAAATATGATGCGCTAATATTTTCAAACTCTTTCGTTGTCCACTGGGTTTCCGGGACCACCAGCGTGTAGAAACCGCAAAAAAAAGTAGATGTTCAAATACTGTTGGAGGGCTCCAATTTAAGAAGACGATTCGGTTGGTCCCATAATTTTCAATAGACGTATTAAATGAAGTCTGTGGATTTAGTATTTTCTCGGGTATTACCTTCTCGGCTCCAGTTCTTATTATCGCAAAGGCAGGTACCAAGTGAAATTCGAGCCTATACTGGAGAGGACGAATTTAGATTTTTCTGCTAGTGCCTCAAGCACTATAACGCTCCGACTCATTTGAATCCGCTTCCTGCGAAGCGGAGCATGGCTTTCACCGCATAGCTGCACTACGAGCACCACCACACGAAAACTACAAGCCCTGTTTTCCCTGCCCCTTCCTATGGCGCGTGCTCTCTATTTATTTATTTATTTTATCCTCAGGGCACCTGGTATTACAGAGGAGAACGGGAACAGCGGTAATAATAATACAAATGGAACCAAATATACAATACTTAAACAATCGAGAACACGAAACTGTCAATGTACAGAAAACTGTGTGGTCATTAACTGATGTGAGCGATATGGGTAAGCGGTTCCAGTCTTTGGAAGTTCTAGCAATGGGACACCGACTTTGTGACGATCAGCAAGGCGTGCTGAGTAAACAAAGTAGGTGGGGTTGATTAGTTGTGATATTTTAAGCCGAGTAATGTGGTGATCATTTTAGGAAAAAGACAAATACGAGGGAATGCGACCATGTGCGAGGCTTGGGAGTAGAGAACTATCTTTCATTGATGTTGTTGCTGATGTTATGCACAAGCATAGCGAAGCTTACATAGGAGTGTGAGTGAGTGAAACATGTCTTTAATATGAAGAGGATGAGGCTCTGGCTCGAGGCTTAAAACCATGAGCTCGCAGCCTCGGGACACTTGCGGGCCGCGTCCCAGAGAGTCGCGGGCCGCATGCGGCCCGCGGTCCGTGTGTTTGAGACCCCTGATCTAGTGGCACAGAATAACCCATTGCACTGCGCAGCAACATCCCTGGTAACCTATATATTGACATAGATTAAATTGTTTTAATAATTTCACTTACTATTAGTCCTTCAGGACTCTTATTATAGGAGTGGGAAAACACTTCAGTTATAAATGCAGTGGTGCAAACAATTGAAGTACACACATCAAAATCTATGCAGATCATAGCAACATTCAATTGAAGAAAAAGAAAAAAAAAGTGCGCGCTCTTTGGTTTCGTCTGAGATAACACTTTCAACAGTCTCAAGCGACATGTTTCACTCACGTATGACACGTGAAAAAAAGTTTTCATTGAATGTGTATTCTTGTAGATGCCGATCTCATGTTATGCTTCTTTCTTGTAATTTTTGATTGGTGAGGTGTTGCATAAGATAATTTGTGAATACAGGGATGACGGGCTCTTATCTGGGCACATGACGAAAAGGTCAGCGAGAAATTCGGCGGCTATGATTGGCCAGCGCCAAGGTCAAGTGCGGCGTTGGCCAATCTCGGCCGGCGGACTGCTCGCCGACTTTTTCGCCAAGTGTCTATATTAGGGTCCCAGAAAGCACCACGTAAAGAAGTTTGAAACGCAGAGTTGTTTGCCCACTTATAGTCGACTGAACGTGTGATTGGGAACAAGGCTCTGTAGATGACTCATGCCATGCCATCGCGAAGTATTTGTACATTTGTGCTTGACTTTCTGATGCAGTTCTCACGTGACGCGGCCTTCACTTAATGTCATGGTATGATGCTAACGGTCATATCGTACTCGTTCTTTCCGAGAAATAACTTTTTTTCGGGTGGAAACGCTTTCTGCAGGAGGTGCACGCTCAACAGCAAGGCCTCCGCAATGCTGCTGATATGACGTCCATACAAGCCAAGTACACACAAGGGCAAAGGCCAAGTACTCGGAGTCGGACCACACGCGCGCAGGGCTTGCGTTCCATAGTTTTGCTTTGATCAGGGAGAAGCGCGAAGAAAAGATACGAAAACCTGCCAGCTTTGAACAACGGCGCAGTCAAGCGCTGATTCCAAACCTCTTGACAAAAGGTCCGCTGCTCGGGCATAAGAGCCAACCGATCGTCCGACCCGGAGTTTGCGCGCACAGCGAGCAGCGTGCAACAAGCGGCATCAGCCATGAAGACCAACATCGTGGTCTGCCTCGTCGCAGTGGCCTTCGGTAAGCAAAGCTGTAAAAAGTTACTCTTAAGAAAGTTATTAAAACAGTGTGACGTTTGCTCGAGATCAAAAAGTAAATGCATCATATGGTTACGCTGTTCTTAAAAATGTTTTGGCCAAATTTAGTCGCCAAAAAGTAACAGAGTCACGTGTAAATTGGTTTCGAGAATATCAATTGACATCAATGTATACGCTACGATTTCCGAAGGCCCTGTCTCGGAAATTAACAAGATAATGGCACAGTTTTGTTTTTATTTCACCCCCTGCTCACCCGTCGCAGGCCTTCAGGTAGTGAGAACACGTGGCGCTGATCTTCAGACTAAACGAATATAAAGTTGTATAATTGTTGACATCATTTAGGGAAGTCGCTGTTGTTAAAGTAAGGGACATATTTCCCCGAAACCTAAACTGGTTTCATAAAAACATAAAAACAGCTAAAGTGTCACTGCTAAGCAGGGAGCGTCTATAGTTACTTCGTTTGTACGTAACCATTACAACTCGAAATGTTTTATTGAGTTACTTTACAATACTGTTGGTAAATAATGATAATAATAATAATAATAAAAGTTCCCATGAGTAATAAAATTTGCGATGCGATGTCGAACATGATAAAGAAGCAGTGAAAAACATGAAGCATTTTTTCACATAGAAGATTTTAAGCAGTCCTCCATGAAAATGAATTTTACGATTGGTCCAGTTCCCAGCGTAATCTAAGGCCACCTTGTTGGCTCCGCTGTACAGTAACGGCCAAACGTTACATTGAAACTTTGAACATTCCTCTATCTAGTGGTCTGTTCCGGTCTTCTTTAAAAATTATAAGTTTTTTTTACAACTTTTAAGCAGCCTTGAGCAGTCCATGCAGTTTTATGCCGCGTTCGCACAGCTAATATATTACACAAAAGACAGTCTGCAAGCACTGCCTGAGGCAGGTGTTTTTCTTGTATGAGAATCTTGTCACATTTGTCATAAAAAAGCATGTCAGCCGACATGATTAAAGTGTACATATCTATGAAACAAAAATGGTTCAAAGACGCTTGAGGTGGGTGCGCAGATAAGTACTCTTATCGTGTGTGCAACAAGTGAAACCAACACCATGTTTTTTTTGTATGGTCAATGAGCGAAGTGACTGGGGTTTTAATGACATCAAAGACGTTCCCCCTCCCCTTATGCCACCCCAACTGGATTACAAATTGGGGCACGGCGCCGGTTACCCTATCCCCGCTAATTGATAGAGCGAGACGGACTTCTAGGGGAGTACAAAAGTGCCACCGCGAACGCAGGCCTGGCCTTTGTCCGGGGTCAAGAGGACGTCTGCCACCTTCCGGTCGTGAGAGGTCCCTGCCGCGCCGTGATTCTGCGATGGTTCTTCAACAGCACGACGGGAAACTGCGAGAGGTTCATGTACGGTGGATGCCGGGGCAACGCCAACAACTTCGAGAGCCAAGAAGAGTGCCGGCTCTCCTGCAAAAATGGTATAGTATATACGCTATGTGTGACTTGCCTCGTCCATCCATATGTCACCATACCCCGACAAAAAAAAGTAAACATTCTTGAGCAGATTCCCGATTGCTACAAGACAGTGGCCGTTCGGAACAATATCCCCACGTTTTTCTTCCCTTTCTTACTGTCGGGCTTTTCCTTTCAATACGCCAGAGGGATATCGCTCGATCCTTATGGCTTTTCCTGAATTGGAGAAGTTCCCCTCAGCCTCAGGTCATGTCGGCACCGTTAGCATCAAGTTTACAAGTGAAAAGAGCTGACGTCGGTACAAAGGAAGCAACGGGCCTGCTATGCAGGCCCGTTGCTCCCCTTGGCCGCGGCAAACGCGGCATTTTGGCTGCAAACAGTGACTGTATACGTAAGGTAATTAATCTACTGGGCAGGAGATCGAACTAAAGGGGGCGCTTTATTGAGCTTGTTGTCCCCACAGCCCGGTGTTTCCCAACACAGCATAATAAGAAATTAAACCTCGCCTATAACGGTCTGGGCACGAGCGCTTCGCTCTGACCAGTGCTTTGGTCGCACGAGGAGCGGCTGTCGAATCGTCGTCTTCGATATTTGTGATCAAAAACAAACAAGAGAATTCGGTTTTTTGTCCCCACAGCTGAAGCGTAGCGCTAGCTAGAGGCGTGACTGTTCGATCTCCTCCCCATCTTATGTTGAGACTGCAGCCAATGCCACAAGCACGACAGCTCGAGGTCGCTGCTTTGAAGTGTCCTTCCACAGAACGAGTACTCGCGCTAGAAATTGGCGCCTTAAGGCTAAGTGCGCGGGCTAGCTCGTGCCTGTTGCTTTGGCCACAGTTTTAGCTTAAAGGGGTACGGAAACAAAATGTTTGCACTTATTTATTTGCTTCGATGGGGTCTATATTGTGCCGGTAGCCCAGAAACACGAGCCCGTAGACTGGTGTTTCTGGTCTGCCGGCAGAAAAGTCAAAAGAGCTAATATTAAAACTAATTATTAGATTCCAAAATTTCGTCTGGTGGCGTTCTGTGAAGCCCTGTTGAAATGCCGCCACCATGAGTTCCTTAGAAGAAGCGCCAGTTCGCGGCAGTATGGCTCTCTCGTGGACTTACTTGGTCCTTAATGTGACTTACCAGAGAACCCTAACGCGTTTACTGCGGTGCAGGGATGGGCAAAATACATGCAAATATGTATCAAAATACAAGTACAAAATACTTCGTCAAAAATGTATTTAATTACAAATCTAATTACATTTCCCAAAAAGGCATTTAAATACAAGATACAAATACAACCAATTGTATTTGGTCTCCTCCAAATACTTTTCCGAATACATTCCTCAAAATTTGCGTCAGCGACTTTAGGGCTCCTGCAACGGGTTTCTAGGTATCTCATTTTAATTTTGCATCGCACACTCGGTATTTAGTGTGCGGGGCTCTAGTAAAGTAATAGAAATATAATCGCAAAAAAAAATGTAATCAGCTTGGACGTAATAGGTGAAAAAAGTACAGAGCTTCAAGCAGCTTTTTTGTCGATTACATTTTGGCATTAGATCAACAAAGAACCGAGACGACCAAGACGCGCAGCGCTAGCTAGAGAATTTTTTATTGTTGCAACTCGCGCCAGTTACGAAAATCTGGACGATCCGCACTTTTAGAATGTTCCAGGCAAAAATATGGATGGAAATCAGGCTTGAAAGCATCACAAGTTGTCACAGCCACTTATTTAGCCAGTCTGCCTGTGAACGTCGATTTCGTCACAATTCTTGCCCTGGACTAGCACCGTAATCACAAAGTCACTAAACGCCTGTGCTTGATTAAGAGACACTTCATTCGGTGCATTACGTAGTTTTCTTCCTGCTCTGAACAGTGACACTAAACTTGAGGGATGTATTTTCGCCCACAAAATTGTATTTAATTAAAATTGTATTTGAAATACACACATTTTAGTATTTAAATACACACGTCAAATACATTACCCAATTTGTAATTAAATACAAATGCAAAATACACAAAGTATTTGAAATACTGCCCATCCCTGGTGCGGTGTATATGTTAAAGCTTTCACATTGCTTCCGCAACGCGCGTTCCACATCATCAAGATCGCTGTTCTTTGCAGGCGTTAGGTGGGGGCTTGATCTGAGGATGCGAATACCTCTGCCAAACCAAAGCTATCGTTCTTTCAGCTCACAGCACGCAGCAGATGGTCGAAACCAGCTTTGACGAGAGCTGCAAGCCCGCGGCGGAGCCCGGTGTGTGCGATGCCTACATGCCACGCTGGTTCTTCAACGTGGACACGGGAGCCTGCGAGCGCTTTATCTATGGCGGCTGCGGAGGCAACCTCAACAACTACCTGAGCTCCGCGGAGTGCGAGAGAACCTGCCTGCGGCGCGCCGAAACGCGTACGTATAAAAGCACTACATTTGAGTTTTTGGGATTTAGTCTATTCAAAAATAGAGTGTTAAGAAAGAAAAAAAAAAAAAGCGAGGTTTTTCCCACCGTAAAAATAAACAACGCATCGTCGAACGCTTATTGCCCGCCCAAATGTGCCGCTAACTGTCCGAACCTTATGCTAAAGTTTCAGGACTAGACGTTAGCTTATTCAAACATTATGGGATTATCTGAACATGGGAATGGAAAAATCCGACCCGTTTTCGGTAACCAGCACCATTTAATTCCGTCGGCCACGATTTTCCCATTACATTTGAAAAAAAGAAAAAAGATTGATAATTCTTGAATAAAATAACGTCTTGTTCTGGCATCTGGTTGTAACCGCTATCGCTACATTTGGGCGGAATAGATAGAGCGCTCGGCAATGCGTAGTTCAATAGTGAAAAGAACGAACAGAAAAAATAATCGATGCAATACTTTCATTTATTTTTTTTTTGGGTTGGGGGGGGGGGGGGAGGGGGGCGCATAGGCATATTGCTAAGCGACTGCTCCTTTGTGACCTCCTGAATCCTCTCAATGCTCTTTCAAAAATAGAGGGTTTCTTTTCTTTTTTTGTGACGACAGTCTGATATGTCCCATATTACGCGAAAAGCGGTCGACGTTGTCCCCCAAAAGATGGCCGAAAAACTGCGCGCTAGAGCACGCGACGCTCAAGGTTCAAGCGGACGCGCCTCAGAAATAAAACACAAAGAAAAGCACAGCAACGCAGGTGCTTCGTCACGGAAGCTGTGAAACCGGCGGGAGCACCGCGCCTGCGCAGTGGGCGAGCGTAGTGTCACCACCGAACTGAAGTACTTTCGCATTCTTACACGTAATAACGCTTCCTCTAGCTTTGTTACCGAGCTTTGTGATGCCATACTCATCGTCATAACACGGTACCCATCATCCCCTGTATTCTTGCTGGGTGATTTCAATTATCCAGCAATTCAATGGTCAACGTCTTCACCTTCCCTAGTCTCTTCCTCATCTGTTTCTTAAGCATTTGTTGAGTTGTGCTCATATTTTAACTTTAAACAGATTGTTTCCGAACAAATCAGAATTACACCAACAAGTGCGAGCCTGTGGGATTTGGTATTAACTACCTGCCCTGAAGTATGCTCAGAAGTAAAGTACATGCCGAAAATAAGTGACCACTCTCTGCTAAAGTTTGCTGTGACTATTCCTGTGCTGAAGTTTTCTAATAAAACCAAAATGCTACGTAATTATCGCAAGGCTACTTTAAACAAATCAAGGATGAACTGTTTTTATTTTTAGAAACATTTCTAAGCGGAGTCGAAAAACGCTCAGTTGAATATAACTGGATGCTATGGAAAACGAAGATAACAGAGCTCGCTAACCGTTTTATTCTAGTTCGTGTAATCGGTTACGATCCACAAACACCTTAGTCTAACTCGTTTACTAGGCGCCTCTCCAATCGAAAACAACGCCTGTATCGAAGTGCAAAAACATCTCGAAACCAATACATCACACCGCGGCTGATGAATACGATTCTGTTGTCAAATCAGCGAAGGCAAATTTTCTGACCAATACGCTCCCGAATATGTTGCTTATTAATCCAAGAAAATTATTGAATGTAGTAAATGCAACTGATAGTTCGCGAATTGTACTAACGAATTTGGAAAGTGAACCAAATGATGACGGAGAGTGTCCCAGTATGCTTAACAATGTGTTTTCTAGTGCTTTCTTGGGTGTTTCTTTCGCTGTTTTGCCGTTATTTAGTAATTGTGAGTATTTACCCATGGACTTCGTGTTGATTAATGATAATGATATTGCTAAAGTTATTGACTCTCTCAAACCTTTCTCTTCCGCTGGTGTTGACTGTATTACTCATATGCTATTAAAAAATAACACCAAATGGTATTCCTCTGTCGCCCTCGCTAAATTTTTCAGCAATCGCTCGACCCCGGTGAGCTTGCGGGAGATTGGAAGATAGGAAGGGTGGTTCCCGTACATAAAAATGGCAAAAACATTCACCCTACAACTACAGACCCTTATCAATCACTAGCGTCCCATGCAAGATTCCTGAACACGTGCTTTTATTCCATGTCGCAAATCATATTTATGCGAGACGCAATTGGTTTTATTCACCCACACCGATAAGGTCTCTCACCAGCTCCTGCTACTAAAACAGCAACAACAACAAAAAAATGTATTTCACGCGGGCGACAAGAGATGGCGCAATGAACGCCGCCAACGAACCAGCATACGGCGCCGAGAGCCGGCGCCTTTAGCAGACGACTTTTTAGACTCAAAAGCGGCGCGCGTTCCGCAGGCGGCGACAGTCACAGAAACAAAAACAGGCGTGGTAGCAACAAGGAACTGCAGTTGCTTGTCTGCTAAAGACGCCGGCTCTCGGCGTCGTAGGCTCGTTCGTTGGCGGAAGTTGGCGTCGCGACCGCTTGCGCCATCTCTTGTCTCCCGTGCGGAACGGTGCCGTGTTGTTTGAAGACCGGTGGCTTCGCTGCGTTTCCATAGGAGCTAAGCCTTTGTCTTTGAAACTTTTTCCTCAGGCAAGTTCACTCTTTGCAAATTTTACAAAAAAATAAAAAAAATAAAACCATCTGTGGGCAACGCTGCACAAAGTCGTAGCGCGACAGGTTAAGAAACCGAATTTTGCGGTCGATTTAAAGAGCCTGGCCTCTCCTTGATTCACCCTGTAGAATATGCTTCATCAATTTGAAACCCTGGCGTCGGAATTCTTGTTAACCAGTTAAAAATGATTAAAAAAAACTCAGCCCGATTTATATACTCGAACTACCAACAGCTGCTAGTGTGTCCTCAATGAAATTAAAACCTAGGTCTTTCATCCCTAGCATCACGACGCAAAAATGCGACCTTGCTTATTTCCTAAGATTTTTCATCGTACCACTTTGCGTAATGAACTATTAACACCACCATCTTATAGATCGTCACGGGTGGGTCACCTTCAGATAGTAGGGGTAATTTTATGCAATATTAATCCCTTTTTTTATTCTTTCATCTCACGCACCTCTAATGATTGGAACCGCCTTCCCTCCCTAATAGCCACTATTAGTAATTTATATTTGTTTAAACTTACTTTGCAGAATCTACCTGAATGATTTCATGTAATAGTACTAGTATAAGTCAGATATCTTTTATCGAGTTTATTATATATATGTGTGTGTGTAGGCTGGATATTTTTGACGTGCTTGAATCGTCTGTATCCATTGTTTTTTTGTAAATTCCTTTTGAATTGCTTCCCCAATTTTCCTCCCATGCTTACTTCTTGTTATTGGCTCTACCACTCCCCTCTATACTGCTTATGCATTGAGGGTATATATAAATAAATAAAATAAAACCTTCTGGGTATTAAATTTTCTTCCTTCGAGTTACCTTTTGTGTTTTTACAGACTATGAGCGTTTGAAAAATTACTTACATTTGGCGTGATGTTTGTGTCTTGTGCCCACAGTTGATTCAGCGTACCGCTCTGGGTGCTCAACTTGTGGATGGACCCCTCATTGGTATCCTTTTCCAGGTTTGGTTTGAATTTTGCTGATTCTTATTGTAACCAGTCATGTCTTCTCTGTTTCGGTTCACGCATGACACGAGAAGATATCGGCGCACTAGTGTGTCTCGACATGATTATTGACACCTAGATACACCAGTGATCGCCGCCAGAATGCTTATTTAAATCAAAATAGGCAGGGACAGGGTTCAGTATGAAACACCCGAATTCCGCTGACATTCCCCCACATTTCCGACATTTCCTTGGGAAAGAGCGAGGGTTTATATGACAAGCCTTTGCGAACAGGGCCCAATAATGCTATCGCGTTATTCTCTCTCTCCACTTAAAAAAACAAAACAATTGTCACGCTGGTTCCACAAAAATATTTTCATTGGTTCACGCCACCACTGCGCTTCGGTTATCTTTATTATACACAAATGTAGACACAATACTCATACTACAAGCATCAGCTGAACATGCATTGAGCGCATACACATACATGGCACATACAACTATCAATACAACCGCACACTAACCCGATCACTACTTCCGAGCTCTGCGTTTCCGTCTTTTATACTGGTCGTTTTGAACGTACGGAATTTCTTGATGACCGCCTAAACAATAAAAAATATTCCCAGCATGTTGATTTTTTTCCAGCAATCTCATACCTCTGAGAGTATTTATCCCCTGAGCCGATGATTCGGCTCAGGGGATAAGTCTCTTCGTAAAAAGTAAACGCTCGATCACGCCGTAATTAGTTGAAAGCCAATAAATCAAAGTGAGAAAGCCAATAAATAAAGTGAGAAAGAGGGGTCAAACTGGTAACCAGTTGGACCAGTTAGGCCAATCATGCGACCAGTTTGGTAATCTGGTAACCAGTTGGACCAGTTCGGCCAGTCTGGTGACCAGTTCGGCGTCTGGTGACCAGTTCGGTTAATCTGCTGACCAGTTAGGCCAATATGGTGACCACACAGGCCAATCTGGTGACCAGTTAGAAGGTAACCTGATGACCAGTTAGATCAATTTGGTTACCAGTGAGACCAGTCTGGCTACCAGTTGCACCAGTTTGATTTCCTGTTAGACCAGCCTGACCAGTCCAAATACCAGTCTGACCAGTTAGATTTTCAAACTGATCTTTCCAATAAGGTGACACGGCAAAAAAAATATTTTTAATGCTAGGCGTTAAAATAATGAATCAGTAGGACATCACCAAACATTTTCTCACTTCAGAGTTGTGCAGCGTTTTTTTTTTTTTTTTTTTTTTATTAAAGATAGAAATACGAAGCCTAATTCCAAGTGCCCGCCAGTGCCCTGTGACGTAACAATGTACCGCAAGATGTCGGAGCGGTCAGAAGGGAAGCATCGCCGAAGGTCACGTGAGCTGTACCACTCCTCGCGCTTACCGCGACTGCGTGTAATATTTTTTTAAAAATATTTTTGTTATTCTCCGCACCTCCGCGAGCAATCCAAGCAGACAAGGTTTCTTTTATTTGCTTTTCATCGCCTAATGTTGCTATAGACCCGTTGCTCTCGGGCAGGGGGCGCGAGCGCGTCCGCAAGACGCGACCATGTTATGCTGGCAGCACTATACAGGCGGCGCTGTAGCGTTCGATTTTGCACGTGCCACGTTCGAATGCAAGCATTTGTCAGCATCTGCAGACGCGCGATAACAAAACGTCTAAAAAAAGAAAACCCAAAAATAAAAAAAAAAAGAATTATGCAGCTCGTGGCCTCAGCGTCCCATTCAGCTTTATTATTTTATTGCGTTCTTTCATAGCTTCCGTGAGCCCGTATATTTCACTTCACGTGATAGCGCAGCTGAAGCTACTCGCAAAAACATGTTCTTCCGAAAAATGTTCGCACTGCACGAGCGCGCGTGCTTCGAAGGGACGGAGCTCGGTCTTGTAGCCTCTGCTACGCTGGTACTTCAAATGGAACGGAGTATAAAGAACTATAGTGGGGAAGCGTGATGACGCACGTTCGAAACGCGAGCCAAATATTTTATTTTGCTCGTCTGGAGTGCTGCTCAAAACTTGAGAGCTACGGGCCTATAACGGTAGAAGAAGAGGAGTCAGTGAACCTAGTAAGCAAGTTCTACTCATGTTCTAGACAAACACGTACTTTATGCTCGGCGTCTACTTGTACTTGGTACACACACCAGTTCGTATAGGGAGTATTCACTGGACGCCATATTTGCGGGTGCTGTTTAGAGCGCATGCTCAGAACGAGCTCACATCAATAGGCTGCTAAGACCGACACTCTTGATGGTGCGGAATGCACGTTGCAAAAGAACTGTGGAAGCTCGCCATCAGCACGCGCTCAGCATTCGCGCACACAGCTATGGCCGCCAGTGAATACCCCCTATTCTCTAGACGGCAGGCATCTTGAGCCTGGAGAGTATCCGATGATTCGACGACCTCGGTGTCTGAACCTTCAGCAATGCGATCGGGCGTGTCGTATGCCAGTAACCCTAATTTCTGTGAGCGTTCTAAAAATGTTTTTTTTTTTCAAAACTCGATAGCTTGTTTTGCGCCCAGTATGGCTTTGTACCATCGGACTGATCGCATGCACTCGTACACTGGCTTGTATTCGCAACGTTTTCATCATTGACCTCCATCACGTCGATCCACTGACTCTTTGTCCTCAACTTTTACAGCACGCAAACTAACCAACGATGCAGCGATAAAAAAGCTAGTGGAACTGAAAATTCGTTTTCTACGATCGCTCGTAGAAAAAAAAAACAGAATAAAAAGAAGTCTTAGGCACGGTCGTGGGGAGAGTGAAACTCACGTGACTTCCGGCGAACCCACTTTTAGTGACGCAGGTCGGCGCCTCCCTTCTGACCGCCCCTACACCTTGCGGTACATTGTTACGTCACAGGGCACTGGCGGGCACTTTGAATTTTTTTGCGCGTCAGAGGCCTTTTAACCGTCGATCCTCCAAGTTTTTGACCCATAGATGCGTCCAATGACCCTGTTTCGTTTACTGTCCTAAAAAGAATTTCGAGCCGTATACGCGTAGTGGGCATCAGGGGCAGCGGCGGGCTAGCGAACCATGCATTCATTTTCGTTTAGCGTGTGAAGAAACGTTCAGCTTCCAGGTGTTAGTTGTTGTAATCGACAATTATACCTGTCCCCTTTGGAAGGACTGTTCCCTCCATATTGACCTCCCCCACCCCCCTCCCGCCCTTTTCTTCTTACGCCTCTCTGAAGTCTTCTAGTTTCGTCTGCGGCTCTCAACCCCATGTCACCTGGCCAAGCCTGGGTGTAGCGGCCCCAATGTAACTAGTATTAGCGTCAGTATTAGCGTGATGGACATCCCGCCTTTTTTGAGTATCCGCCATATTGTGTTTATCGAGACCATAGAGGCAGCCGGATGGGCATCCGGCTAGCACCCAAGTTTCCGAGTTTGTACCAATGTACGTTTTAATACGCTCCGGGCGCTGGTGTTTTGAAAAAACCCGTGGCGCCATCTGTCCGACGAAATAAAAACTATTGGTATGTTACCGCCCTTCCCGACTGCTTTCGCGTTAGGCTTGCCAGGCGTAAAGTGCAGGCGTACCCGGCTGCTTTCGTTATGTCGTCCGCAACAACGCAGTCGAAAAAGCGCACTTCTGTTTATTGCTGTGTTTACGATTGCCACAACAGCTACGGAAACACAGCTGGGAAGCTCCCAGTGGTAGAGCTTTACCGCTTTCCAGCAAAGCCGTACGAGGCAGAGCGTCGACGGAAATGGGTTGCAGCGGTGCGGCGCGCAACGTAAAGAAACCTTTTTTTTTTTTTTGTCGCTTCTCGGTTTTTGTTTGCTCTCCATGATACAGAATTGTTTCTCGCTGGCACAGTTAGACACTGCATTTTTGTGTACAGCGGAGACGGAGACCCCTGGGAACCCGCGAATGGGCAGGCCAGGATTTGCAGCTGCCACTTCCTAGGAAACAAAAAAAGCTCCATCGCTCAGCACCCCGCTTACATCCCCACGATCTTCCCTTCGTCGTACAAGGCGAGATGCAATGTGACGACAGAGACACAACTGCAAAGATATGCAATGTGACGACAGAGACACACTGCTCCATGTTTGCACCACCCACGCACGCCAGCCTTGCAGGTGCAGCTCGCGCCCACGATGAGTCTCGGGTGCGCTAAAAGCTGCCGTAGCAAAAAAAAAAAAAAAAAAATGTGTGTTATGCACGGTTGAACCGAGAAATCAGAACAACAACAAATGAGGAGTGGAGGGGGGGTACGCGAAACCGAACCGGGTGGCACGCTCACCTGAAGCCGGACGTTGTAAACAGCAGACTTCATCTGCGCGAGGCATTTCCCTACAACTTCGCTGGGAGCTGTAGTATGAAGGACTTCTTCTTTCACGCCAAACACGTGACGGCCCGCATAAAGTTGCTCCCCTAACTTCAGTGACTTTTCTTTGAAATATTCTGCGATCTCGTCAATCCTTCTGAAGCCGCAAAAGAGCACCGTCGGATCGCACGTGCGAGCCGCCATTTTCAGATGGGAACATACCAATCGTTCTTAGGTCGACCACGGGCGGCGCTGGGGAGCGCAAGCGACGGTGGCGCCGGAGTGGCCGCCCGGTGGCCATACCAAATAAACCATCCAGTTTTTCTATTACACTAGGTCAAGGTCATCCAAGTAGTGCTATTCTCCTTCGGGTGGGTTTTGCCTCCGGGAAAATGTCTCCCTTTAGGAGGGATAAAGTTACAGGAGCACGATCGAGCTTCGACTCAAAAAGTGGAACGCGAAAGCTGAACGTATATACTCCCGCTCATTTCCAATCCCTGCAAGCGTATCTGCGTGGCCTAGTCGATATGGTGTGTCCGGCTCGCAACCGGCGGGTCGTGAATTCAAATCCTGCCTCCGCTTGAAAGTCTTTAAATATATTTGGAAGGCAAATTAATTACTTTATAAAGTGAAACAATATGAAAGATGCGTCGACTTTTAATTCGTATTACGTACCACGTTTTAATCGCTTTCATTGCACGCGTGACGTCGCGTTTCACGCGAGTGTTACAGGTTGTTTGAAATTCCCGCGCGAGGTCATGTGGATGTGCCGTCTGACCCCATCGACCAATCAGGATTTTTCTGTCCCATCCGACGCCGACCGGACGCCAACCCGACTCTTTTTTTGCCTAATTTCACTACATCGCCTACAACAACATCTCTGCGTCAAGAGGTCCTAAGTGGTATCGTGTTAAAATCGTTTTACTTTTTTCTTAAGCAGTGACTATACACCATTTTAATGTTTACGAATCCTCAGTCCGGCACGCGCATGACTTTAACACGCGGCGTAGGGATGTAGGGACACTCTGGCGCGACGTCATCAGTGCAGCCAGGGCGCGCTTTAGCTACTACTTGCGGCTAGCTTCCTCGCGCCGCACGCGCCGAGCGAGCAAAGATGGCGCAGATAGCTTTCAGCGCACTAATGGCGCATTCACATTGGAAGCGGATCCGCGTTCGGGGAAGCGGTCGCGGATGCGGTTCGTGAGCGACCCCGTTCAGACACACCGAGAGGCGGTTGGCGGTTTCTCGGCGATCACGCGTGATCTTTTGAGACTTGCGTTTGGCAACCCTGTTTTACAATCCAAAATCCACTTTAATTCAAGATCCAAAGCCAAAGTTTTGCTATTTGGCACGCGGAATATTTTTCTCCGGGATGTTCGCACGCATCACGAGTTGAGGCAGCAAAAAAAAAAAAAAAAAAGAAGCATGGACCCGCCGAACTCGCCTGTGATTCCCTCGAACTCGCCCACAAGCAAAGCCCAGCTAGGCGCGCCTTGCTGACTCAGAACAGGATGCCCCCGACCTTTTCTTCGAAGTGGACCCTTCCCGCATGAAAAGCTGACCTTGTTTTCGGGATAGAGGGCCAGTTTTTCCCCCTCGTTGTTGTTCACTCTTATCATTTTCGAAGTTGTGGGCGGTGGGGTGGACCGTGGTGCGGGAATGTGTTCGACGCTAACCGGTCGTGGCTTCGTTGGTGGCGGACTCTCGTCACTCGCTCGTCGATCGCGTCTACTGTTTGTTTGACATTAAGCTCAAATAAACGCCGTATGGATTACCTCTGCATTGTCTGGTACGTACACTTTATTTCTTGAGTAGGTTCCCTTTATTTATTTTATTAGTAGTAAACGTTACAGGTCGAGCTAGCGCAGGTACCCTGCGCCTTCCGTGGTGGTGCGTGGGCTACGCTATCAAGCTCACGACGTCTCTATCGGGCTTCGTGGCGGTCATGCACGGTGTCGAAAGCTTTCAATAGTTCACGCGACTATCCTAGTGGGTAGAAAAGCTGACATTTCGGTCGATCAGGGGTAGGTTACGACGTTCTACAGGCAGATATTAACAAGGCAGCGAGCTTAGGCTGTGGCAATCGGAATAATAAACAAACTCTTACCCGAACCAAATCACCGGTGCGAGGCCCGTTAAAATTACGAGTCAATTATTTTCGCGGAGGATTCAAGTAACGGACGTGAACATCAACTTTCTCCGTTGATTTGTCGAAAGCTAAGATTACAGCGCTAGGACTACAGCGCCTTGGACGCCTCACCAGCGACAGGTGCCATCTTGTTTCGAAAGTCACTGACGTCACGTCAGCGTCGCGTTGTGATTGGTTGCCGCTTTGCGGTTCGTGAAAGCGGTTGGGAGAAATCGGTCCCGAAGCGGTTGGCAAAAACGCGCTCCAACCGCTCGATCCGAGCCGCTTTGCGGTTGAGAACGCGCGGATCCGCTTCGCGAACGCGGATCCGCTTCCAGTGTGAACGCGCCATAAGAGGCGCACTGCCGAAGCTTGGGGAGCGCCGAGCGAAGTCGTAAACGCGTCGGAGTAGGCCACGCACCCTCGCCCCTAGGCTCACTTCCAGGCGGCGAAGCCTGTGCCACGGGCTCCACTGCTCGCATCTCGTTTTCTCCCCGATAGTACCTTCGCCTGCATGCAGCACGTGCTTGAGTCTCGTAGGTGTTAGTTTTGTTCGTTTGTCGCTGTAGTAGAACTCAGGCACCTTAAAGACTAAAAGCTCCGCCTTCATCGCGAGCTCGCTGGCTTCCGCAGTGCTTTGGTTGCGCGTGCCTGCGCGTTCACACTTGTGTTAAGCGCGATCCAAACCAACGCTTCTTTTTGCGCCTGTAGGTCATGCGGCTGCGGATGTGACGCATTTCGTGGCGTTTTTGCTGTTTCCGGGCGCGCTTTCTGAGTCAGAACCGTGCGCTTTGGTTTGGACGGGCAAAACTTTGGCACGAGCGCACAAGCAAAGTGCAACTGCGATAGACTGGCCGGCCAGACGGCGAGAGAAAGAGAGAGAGAGAGAGATCGCGTTGTCATGTTGGAAGAAAATAAAAGGGGGGGAGGAGAGGGCAGCCAGACGGCGAGAAACGCGGAGCCGGAACTAGCTTGCCCTCCACCGATTGGACGGGACACAGGAGCGCCCTACTACGTCACCGCGCGTTTTTGTGCGCGTTGAGAAGAAGTTGAAATTATCCAACTTTCTTGTGCGCGCCCGGAAGGAGCGAAGAAGTGGCGCGACGTCACGAAAATACGTCACATCCGCAGCCGCACGACCTACAGGCGCAAAAAGAAGCGTTGGTTTGGATCGCGCTTTAGCAAGGGCAGAACGCTCGCGCTGAAGACGCAGCTTCTAGTGTCAGCTTAAAAGGGCTGTGCAACGGCATTGGGTAGGAATATTTCTTACTTTACACCAGCTTCCTGGCACTAGTGGGACCCAAGAATACTCAAACGCAACACCACTGACCAAGAAACGTCTTCGTCGCGGCGGAATTCAAAGGATGAAAGCGGAGCTTTTCTTTCAGCCTCTCCTTCCAAAGCCGCCTTTTGCTCCTTCGCGAAATTTGATGACGGAGCTGTGGGGACAATGGCAACAGTACGATCCCCGGGAATGCGTCATCGAGCTTTGCGGTGACGATATTCAAATGCTGCTCACACAGTGGACGCGAGGACTGCGTACGCATTCGATCTGGGCTCGTGACAATCGATGCCTCGACATGCTTTCGAGTACTGGCCCGTGTCCCATCGCTGCAACGACGACAATAGCCGAGCCATAACAATGTCTGGAACTCAGCGCGTGTCCTGTGCTTTGCCAACCCCAGCGCGTGGCTATGATCAACATTGGCGGCATATAATCGGCTCCACATCACGTGGTCGCTTGTTCTGGCTGCGAGGTAAAAGGGTAAACAATGCTCGTTTTTTTTTTTTAAACTTTTATTGGGAGTTTTATAGGGAGCTGAAAAAGAACTGTGGAAGCTCGCCGTCAGCACGCGCTCAACAGTCGCGCACACAGCTCTGGCCGCCAGTGAATACTCCCTATACGCTCCGGGCGCTGGTGTTTTGAAAAAACCCGTGGCGCCATCTGTCCGTCGAAATAAAAACTATTGGTATGTTACCGCGGTTACCGCCCTTCCCGACTGCTTTCGCGTTAGGCTTGCCAGGCGTAAAGTGCAGGCGTACCCGGCTGCTTTCGTTATGTCGTCCGCAACAACGCTGTCGAAAAAGCGCACTTCTGTTTATTGCTGTGTTTACGACTGCCACAACAGCTACGGAAACACAGCTGGGAAGCTCCCAGTGGTAGAGTTTTACCGCTTTCCAGCAAAGCCGTACGAGGCAGAGCGTCGACGGAAATGGGTTGCAGCGGTGCGGCGCGCAACGTAAGGAAACTGAATAACAGGCTGAAGTTGAGCTAGTTGGTACATAATTTAGGTAAATGGTCAGCTAGAACGAGAGGGACAAACACAGACAGGGAGAAACAGAGACATACACACCGCTGACTATCAACTAAGACTTTATATTTCTTCTTGTTCATTGTGACCCACAAATTCACACCTAAAGTAATGCCAATGAATGACCCTAAATCCTTACAGTACACTAATAAATGAAAATACTGATTAAATAATATTAAATTAAAATTGAAACTAATTAATTACATTAAATTATTAATTATTAATTTTGGTCCAACCCACAGACCACCGCCGAAACATGTCCCTCCTAGTCCCTTTCACGGCGCCGTGCCACACTGCAAAAACTGCCTTTCTTTCTTGCTGACTGTGATGGAGGGCATGCTCACGCAGTCGTCGCCGGTTTGCTCAATGGCCAGGGCCTCGAGGATCTCGCGCGCGAAAGCATTTTTGTGTCTGTTAATAATGGAGACGCTACTAAACTGTGGCCTGCACCCGCACGTGCGGCAATGGGCAGCAAGGTGCCCTGCTCCCGTGCCTTGCACCGACGCCGCGTGCTCCCTGACTCTGTCGTTGACGCAGCGTCCCGTCTGCCCAATGTAGCAGCTCCCACATGACATAGGAATCATGTATACCACACCGGTCTGGCACATGGTGTACTTATTCCTGTGTGCAGTATTGCAGGTTGGCTGGCGGTTCGTGGCCCGATTTACTTGGCGGCACATAGAGTTCCCTCTGTTCGGTGCCGAGCACACCACGCTGACGTTTTGTCGTGCAGCGATCTTTTTGAGCCGGTGGGTGACACCGTGGATGTAGGGGACTACTGCGAAGTTCGCTCGTGAAGTCTGTCTGTCTTGCTCGGTACTAGGTGATCCTCTTGAAAATTTCCTGCAAATTGCCTCACATACGGCTCCAAGGAGGACACCTGGGTACCCGGAGTCACGAAGCCGGGCCATCTGCTTCTGAAAGCTGCCGTCAGCTTGATGGTGGCATGACTTGCGCAGCGCAGACACGAGTGCCGTGTTGGCAACACTCCGCTTTACGGTTTTCGAATGGCAGGATGCAAACGGAAGAAAACCTTTACTGGAACGAGGTTCGTACCTCCAGCATACATGTCCATCCTTAAACTCAAGTGCGAGGTCCAGGAACTTAATAGACTTGCCCACGGGTAGTTCATGAGTGAAGAGCAGGTCGGGGCAACATTCGTGGAATGTTTTCATGATCGTGCTCCTGCATCCGTTTTCTTCACTTTCGATGTCTGTGCTGCACAGGATCAAGAAGTCGTCCACGTACCTGAAGATGGCTTTTACTCTAGCATCGTTCAGTGTGGATTGTATGTGCCTACCACACGCCGCCAAGAACAGATCGCATAGATGTGGTGCCACTCTAGACCCAAGTTCTGTTGCAGTCATGGGAGGTTTCGTGAGCGCTTCCAACATCAAGACATCGCCTGGAGGATGTTGCTCGTCGTCAGTTTCCGGCAATGGCAGTCTGCTTAAGGCATCGGCGTTTTGATTCTGTTTTCCTGCCCTGTAAGGAAACCTTTTTTTTTTGTCGCTTCTCAGTTTTTGTTTGCTCTCCATGATACAGAATTGTTTCTCGCTGGCACAGTTAGACACTGCATTTTTGTGTACAGCGGAGACGGAGACTCCTGGGAACCCGCGAATGGGCAGGCCAGGATTTGCAGCTGCCACTTCCTAGGAAACAAAAAAAGCTCTATCGCTCAGCACCCCGCTTACATCCCCACGATCCTCCCTTCGTCGTACAAGGCGAGATGCAATGTGACGACAGAGACACAACTGCAAAGATATGCAATGTGACGACAGAGACACACTGCTCCATGTTTGCACCACCCACGCACGCCAGCCTTGCAGGTGCAGCTCGCGCCCACGATGAGTCTCGGGTGCGCTAAAAACTGCCGTGGCAAAAAAAAAAAAAAAAAAAAAGTGTGTTATGCACGGTTGAACCGAGAAATCAGAACAACAACAAATGAGGAATGGAGGGGGGGTACGCGAAACCGAACCGGGTGGCACGCTCACCTGAAGCCGGACGTTGTAAACAGCAGACTTCATCTGCGCGAGGCATTTCCCTACAACTTCGCTGGGAGCTGTGGAATGAAGGACTTCTTCTTTCACGCCAAACACGTGACGGCCCGCATAAAGTTGCTCCCCTAACTTCAGTGACTTTTCTTTGAAATATTCTGCGATCTCGTCAATCCTTCTGAAGCCGCAAAAGAGCACCGTCGGATCGCACGTGCGAGCCGCCATTTTCAGATGGGAACATACCAATCGTTCTTAGGTCGACCACGGGCGGCGCTGGGGAGCGCAAGCGACGGTGGCGCCGGAGTGGCCGCCCGGAGGGTATTGCGTGGGGTGAAAAACGAACGCGTGTTTCATATAGGTCATTAACGTACCAGGGATCTGTTTTAAGCGGTATTTGCGCAAAGTAAAAGAATTGTTGCATCGCCCCTTTAAAGGGGCACTGAAATCATTTTTAAAAAAGGTTGTTTTTGATCCTATATTGTTTAAAATATGTTAGTTCCCACATATACCAAGTCTCTTTTTTCTCGCGGACTACATTGTGTGGACCAATGAGAGCCCTACAATACGCGCAGATTCCGCATGATTTTATTATAATTTGTTTCGAAGAGAGTCTGATAGGTACACATTCAGATAGGACTCCTCTTTTTCTCTGCGAGCAATGCCATTGCTTGCACCTCGCCGACAAGCGCCCTTCGTCAACCACTTCACTCGGAAGAAAATTATTCCCAAATAAAGCATGTCGCGATTTTTGACCACGCTTTTAACGAGGAAATAAACTATGCAAGGTTGCGGTTTCGGGTTTGTCGGGATGCTTAGGGCGTCTAGATTGAGTTGTCACCACAAAAGAACGATCTCAAAATCGACTTCAGTGCTCTTTTGGGGTGAACGGAGTATAGCAGGAAGCAATCGTCTTTTCAGCACGCAGCATGCAGCAGGTGGTCGAAGCCAGCTTCGAGGAGAGCTGCAAGCCCGCAGCGGAGCCCGGTGTGTGCGATGCCTACATGCCACGCTGGTTCTTCAACGTGCACACGGGAGCCTGCGAGCGCTTCATCTATGGGGGCTGTGGAGGCAACGCAAACAACTACCACAGCTTCGCGGAGTGCGAAAGAACCTGCCTGCGCCGTGTGGTAACGCGTACGTATACAATCACTTCATTTGAGCTTGTGTGATTTAGTCGAATAAAAAATAGAAAGTGTAAACAATGGGACCCGTTTTAGGTAACTGGCACCTTTGAGCTCCATGTGTTCGTAAGATGCGTCGCCCACAATTTTACCATTAAACCTAAAAGAATGAACAATGAAGTAATGGCCGGCCGCAAGTCGGCAAGCCAGGATGGAAAGGCTGGAGTGGTTGCCGCCATCTATGAACGACGGCGGCTACCAGACAACCGACTTGCCGATTATCTGGTGGCCACTCGCGCTCACAGATGGCGGAAGCTTTCCAGAGCTTGGTGTCATCATTTGTTTGCTGACGGACACCATACTGGAGAGACTAGCCCTTAACAGCTACGCTGTTAAGAAAAACATATATTTTGAATAAAATAGCGTTTAGTTCTAATACAATGCCATAGATTTGGAACGCTGCGCTACTTCATTGGGGAAATAGAGCGTTCGGCAATGCGTAGTTTTTCTTGTGAAGAAAACAACAACATAAAACCATATCTTTATTTTTTTTTTCACGGGGAAAGGGGGGGGGGGGGCTTTGAAGTTTGATGCAATAGCAACAACTATGACGAAAGTAATCCCTGGAGAAGGGGAACAAGAGGGACAAAGGACAAACATAAATCTCCAAACACAGCTAGGTGACTGGTGAGCGACCGAAAAAATCCGCCTGGTCCGGGTATTGAACCCGGGACCTCTCCATTACAAGTGGAGCGCTCTACCAACTGAGCTAACCAGGGGTTAGACGTCAGTAGAGCAAACGGGTTTTATCAGCTGCCACCAGTCGAACACCAACAAGGGTGAAGCAACAAAAAGCAACAACTATTTTGTGGCTTCCTGAAGACTCTCGGCTAAGCGCGTTAGGCTGAAGGGACACTGACAGGATATTTTGACTACCAAGGTTTTTATTTCTACATGTCACATGAGAGCCCAACAACCCAGAACACAATTGGCGGCTCGAAATTTGTTTTTTTTTCCGCCCGAAAACCGCCGATCGCGATCTGGCCGGTTTGAGTCGTGCTCACTTTCTTTTCAGTGGTCCCGTGCCATTTGCTATGGTCTAGACCACGGTGGAAGACATACATTTAGGTGATGACTTTGGCCCGTGCTCTGGTCGCTCTTCCCGCGGGGAGCGAGCAACCAGATCGTGTTCGGAGCTAGCCTCGAACCAGGAGTAGTCAGTTCCGCGCCGCTGCGGAGGGCGCTGAGGTATGAGCATTGTGGGTATGAGGTTCCTCCTCGGTGGCCACGGTGTCGGCGGCGTAACGTGCTCGTCTTTCTCGCGGTGTGGTGGTGGAGTGCGACCGGTGGCCGGCCTCGTGTTTTGCTTTGGTGCTGTGTCGATCACAGGTGCCACCATCGGGCACGAAGGTGAGCCTTAACCAGAAGAAGAAGAAGAAAAAGATGAAGAATAAGATGAAAAAGATGAAGAAGAAGACGACGAAGAAGAATAATTATGGACTCTGGTGACTTGGTGGCGGCGTGGCGGCGGTGAGGTACAACAAGAAGCGGTGAGCGAGAGAATGTGTGACCGCTGCTGGGAGAAACAACCGGAGTGGTCGGTTTGGGAGGGACCCGGCACTTGGGCGCCATCTATCCCCGTGCGAGTGAAGCGCGCTCGGTGCGCCGAACATAGTGTTGCCGCCGCGTCGGACATCACCTAAAAAGCACGAGCGGACATTCCTTCGTCCGCGAGAAGTGTGTTTCGGCACCTCGCCGCAGCGGGGCACCCGTTACATGACTCTTGTCTGCCGCTCAGCCTTTTCACTTTCGGCGGCCGCGTATCGTGGCCATCTGCCGGGCTTTGTCAGTATAGAGGAGGCTATGCTCCAACGCATTGTGAAGTGGTTTGATTATACGGGCATTAGAGCTTTGGCACAGAGTAAGTTTTTGCATACCGGACGAGCACGCTCGGTTGGACGAGCACAACGGACCGCCATGCGTTAGCCGGCAGTGGTTCTCGCTCGTGGAGATTTAAAACTCTTTATTATGTGCGGAGAAACTAAGGAAAAGGAGAAGACGAGTGTTAGCCGCCTTTGTCTCCGCTGCACTAGTCGAATGCGTTAAAACGCGAGAGCCAAATGCCGGTCGCCGGCGTTCTTATGTTCTTATCTGTCTTGATGAAAAAAATGTCACACTACCACCTCCATAACCGTAAAATATCACTTGAGAATGCGTAAGCTTTCTCCTCCTCCTGCATGCAGGTACTTGTAGTTACACAACATGCCGCTTGACTGCCTGTACATGATTTTGCCTCCGACGAACTATTTTTCGATCACTTATTGTAGCCAATATTTCCAGGGCTGGGTTCTAACAAAGAAATGTGAAAGGGTTACTTCAAAGCAGGGGCGGTCAGCATTTTAAATACAAGTATTTGAAATACGTATTTCAAATACTTTGTGTATTTTGCATTTGTATTTAATTACAAATCGAGTAATGTATTTGACGTGTGTATTTAAATACTGAAATGTGGGTATTTCAATTCCATTTGGAATTAAATACAATTTTGCGGGCGAAAATACATCCCTCAAATTTATTGTCACGACAATTCTTGTTTTTATGCATGTAGTTGTAAGATATAGTCTCCATCCTTTATTCGGCCATGGGGCTATTTCTTTTTCTCCTCCGGCTTTATCTTAAAGGCACTGTCCAGACCAGGAAGAAAACTACGTTCTGCACCGAATGCAGTGTCTCAATCAAGCACAAGCGTTTAGTGACTTTGTGATTATGGTGCTAGTCCAGGGCAAGAATAGTGACGAAATCGACGTTCACAGGCAGACTGGCTAAATAAGTGCCTGTGACAACTTGTGATGCTTTCCAGCCTGATTTCTATCCATATTTTTGCCTGGAACATTCTAAATGCGCGGATCGTCCAGATTTTCGTAAATGGTGCGAGTTGCATCAATAAAAAATTGTCTAGCTAGTGCTGCGTGTCTTGGTGGTCTCGGTTCTTTGTTGGTCTATACCAAAATGTAATCGACAAAAAAAGCTGCTTGAAGCTCTGTACTTTTTTCACCTATTACGTCCAAGCTGGTTACATTGTTTTGTGATTATATTTATATTACCTTACTAGAGCCTGGCACACTAACTCCCGAGTGTGCGATGCAAAATTGAAACGAGATACCCAGAAACCCGTTGCAGGTGCCCTGAAGTCGTTGATGCAAATTTTGAGGAATGTATTTGGAAAAATATTTGGAGGAGATTAGATACATTTGGTTGTATTTGTATCTTGTACTTAAATGCTTTTTTGGAAATGCAATTAGATTTGTAATCAAATGCACTTCTGACGAAGTATTTTGTATTTGTATTTTGATACATATTTGCATGTATTTTGCCCATCCCTCCTTCAAAGTAACTGGAAATTAAACGAGTGAGTATCTAAAAATATACAAGGAAAACTCTCAAGGGAAGCCAAGCAAAAGCTGAAAATGCGGAACCGAAATTAACGATGACCAAAACCGAAACTGAAGTACGCCTCTGTCGACCGCTAGGTGTCATCCGTGTCCTTTCAATAACTGGGCCACTGGGGCCTATGGTAGTCTCCACTCTTTACGTTTACTATATTACTCTGTATGGAAAGCAGAAATGCACAGAGCTACAGCGGTCGGTCAGTAGGCCTTCTTACAGGGCTAATTTACCTTTATTTCAAAAGAAAAGAAAATTATGAGCCATTCCACTCTCTGAAAGTAGATCACCAGCGAAGCTGTTTAGCACACGACAGAGGAAACTAGACACAGAGCCGTTTATGTAGAGAGTTTGACAGGCGCCATTGGCCGAAAGCGGGCTGGGCGTGGTCCAGGGCGTCTTTACAAGTTTGAATGTGGCCAACCAAAAGCCGGAATTAATACCCTGGCGGTGGTCGCGAGAAATAAACTTGATAAGTGCGTCGGAGTAACTCTCGGTGACTGAAAAAATGGTGCAAGTGATGTTCTAATCATGGTCATCCAAAATCATGGTGGAAGAGTGTATAACTAGCGAAACGATCTACATAATCACGCCAAGCGCCGAGGGCCGGGAACCTGCCGCCAAGGGAGCATGTCAAGCTCACTTTCTTCGTCTGGTGCACGCCCTGGCTCACCCCCGCCTCCCATTGACCAAACTATACACCAACTCATGTTTACAAACAAACCGGAGCGCCCCTAGCGGACGCCACCGGCGCCGCGCATGCGCGATGGGGGTGTGGGCAAAAAGCTCGCCGTCGCCCATAAACAAACCTCTGAAATGCGATGTTGTCGGCGTCGGTGTGAGTCCCCCTGGTCTTTTTCGCGTTCGAATTGTTGATTCTACGTCTTCCTGGCGATGTCTGACTACTTGAGAGGCATCAGCGAAATTACCGATGCTCGTTACACCACGAAACTTCGCGTGAATAATGTGACATGTGGCGATTCATTCCGCGTGGACGCCGCAGTATGTACGCTAAAACATAATTCGCATGATGAGATTTCGCTCGCAATTTTCAGTCGCGACGCCGCTCGGGCTGCAAAAGTGTGAACCGTAGCTGAGATTGTCGACGGCGATACTGAAAATCGCAAGCAGAATCGGACCAAGTCAATTAGGCATAGCAAGTCAGCGATGGTCACTCGTAACAATGATCAACATCTCCTTGTATTTACTGTTTACATTGAGCCTGCTTACCAACCTGGCCAACCTTCAAACCTATGTCTTTTGAGGCCTACACTTACTTCGTATAGCAAGTACCGGGCCAACATTTAATCTACTGGCCGGCGTCGTCTAAGAGAGCAGACGACAAGCAGAAACGTTTGAAAGAGCAGACGACAGTTCAAACGATCAGGCGGCCGTTTGAACTTGAAGACGCACTGAACGTAGTCCGCAGGGGGTCCGCACAACTTGATGGTTTTCTGGCGTTCATGTTGGACTAAAACAAATAAATCTGATGACCACAAGTATCCGTGAATTCAACTCAAAGTACTTCCCGCCCAAGCCATCGTTGTCCGACGGCGTCTGCTTTTCCCTTTTCACGGCACATATCCAGATTCTCGGACGAACCGAGCACGTGAAAACTGACCGTCAAACCTTTCTCGACTCTTTTCGTACGGCCCCAGTCCCGGCGTTTTGACGAGAAGGCGGGTTTTTGTCTGGTTCCCTTCAAAACAACGCAGGAATACACGTCTGGCATGGGGACTTCTGCCCACAGCCCCAGACCGGAAGTGCGACCGACGCGCCACCACCGCGCCGTGACGTCACAGAGATGAGTTGGTGTATAGGGTGGCTCAAGTCACCAGGCTCGATCTAAAATGGACCGTACAAATCGACGCCTGCACGTAGCAATCTAAAAATTTTCGTCAAAGGTGTATTTCACAGGTCGGTTTTTTCTTGTAAAATTACAAAGCGTAGTTCTCTTTCTGTAAAAAATAAGGCCAAGAAACTTGCCTGGGTCAACGGTGGGCGGCGACGCAGACGCCCAAGTCGAGGTGCGGGGTGTGTTTGACGCTCTTATTGATAGATGGCGCTACCTCCTTGTTTCAGTCAGAGCTCTGGTTTCGCTTTGCTTTTAAAGAAATATCGAAAGTGCCCGCGTCGACTATGGTTTATTGACAAGAACCTAATCTTTTTTGTAATTTACCTTTGGCTTGAAATAAATGCAGACAGAGATAGCAAAACTTCAAGTAACAAAAATAAAAGAAAACGCGGTTGCATAACGACAACGCTGACGGCGCTCTTGCTGCCGGCGGATTTCGTCTGCGTGTCGTCTGCTTTCTTTCGCTGGTCAGTTGCATCCTCGGACGCCGCTTCCGAGACCTTTTCTGTCGTGGTTCGAAAGCAAAAGCCCAGAACAAATGGCATCTTTTACGCGCGTTCGTCAACGCTTTATTTTGGTTACTTACTTCGAATCTTTTATACGGGGAAGCAGTGCGCGTGCGGCGCTTGCGGCTGCGCGAGCGTAGACTTTTTATATTCTGTTTCACCTTATGATGTATCGCAGGAAAGGCTACAGGCGCGAGCTCCTTGCTCTAGGGTACATCTCGGCGGCACAAGGTCTCGTGTATTAAGGGCAGCTGCCGACGCTATACTTCGTTTCAGCTTCGGTCCAGACGCAGCCGATGCTACAAGCGCGAGCATGTGGCCCGGAACAGTGCTTGCACTGCACGAACGCGCGTGCTTGGCAGGGATGCTGAAAGCCCGGAGCTCGCGCTTGTAGCTTTGGCTGCGTCTGGACCGAAGCTGAAACGAAGTATAGGAGCTCGCGCTTCTAGCCTTCGCTGCGGTACAACATAAGGTAAAACGGAGTATAGTCACTGTACACGAAAAACACACCGGACCCTAGCCATAAACAGCTTCGCTGTAAAAGAGATTAAAAAATGGACAAGCACTTGAATTGAGCGTATAAGACTGCACCTATCGTTTTCCAGCCCGCCGCTCGCCCCAGATGGCCGGAGTCGACTTTGAGGTAGGCTGCAAGCCCGAGGCGGACAGCGGCGTGTGCGACGCCCACATCAGGCGCTGGTTCTTCAACGTGAAGACAGGTCAATGTGAGACGTTCGTCTACGGCGGTTGCGGAGGCAACGAGAACAACTACAAAAGCCGGAAGAATTGCGAGATCGCCTGCCTACGCGGTACGGGTCTTTCGGATGGCGCGGTGGAAACCAGCTCCTTTAGTCGCCGGCAGGATCAGAGGGAGTGAGACGACCCACCGTTCTGATCCTGTCTGTGACTATACAGGGAACAAGGCCGTATTCTGCTCGATTTCCCCTACAGGGGGTCAGCATGCAGGGGCACAAATCGGAAACGAATGCTGCGTCGGGGTTTGGGCCGGGACTCGTTTCCAATCAGCGAGGAGACGAGTTCTAGTCGTACGCTCACGCGGCGATCGTTTCGTATCAGCGCCCCGCGTTAGCCTCCTGCACGTGACGTAGAACATAATGCGCTACTACGGCTCTGTTATCGAGGAGGTGTAGCCGCAGTGGTCAGTCAGCGTCAAAATAAAGTGATTCTAGAGCGCAGCTCTTAGCCGCCCGTTTCCGGCTTGACATCAGGGGCTCGTGTGACCTCCTGAGGTCACGTGACCCCCCCCCCCCCCCCCTGAGGTCCCATGACCCATTGAGGTTACGTGACCCCCCTCCCCCCCCCGTGAGGTCACGTAACCCCCGTGGTGAAGTAGCACGCCGAATAGCGAGGTGAGGAGGAGGGAGGAGGGGTATACCTTCCCCAGTACCCTTCCATCCTCTCCTCAAGAGCGGCGCTCTGATTCGACGTTACAGGGAGTCGTAAACGGCTTCCATTTATTTTCTTTAATTATTATTCTACTGCTGACGTTTGTAGCCACTCCGTGTTCAAACTCTGGCAGCAGCGTGGGCCCAAGCGCAATATTTCTTAAAGATTACCTGAAGGGGCCGTGAAATGATTTTTCAACTTCCTTTTTAAAAGTGCGGATTTCAATTTGGGACTCTTACTTTGGAACTCTTGATCCTCTGGTTCGTTTGTCAGCAAAAACAAAACAAATGCACTTGAAAAAATAAAAATAAACACGGAAATAATTGGTAGTTTAAATGTAGTTTCCCTTTATTTCCTTAGAAAATAAACCACAGAAGGGTATATGCGGCATCGAAATCGCGACTAAATCTCTCACAATACCATTTGCGGTATGGTATGCGTGCAGTGAATACGTTCGATTCTCGAAAACCGTCATGAAACAAATTTCGCGTGTTCCGATTTTTGACTGTTCTTTCCCACATGTGTTTCAGCTTTACTTTCCAATTACACACACACAAAAAAAAAAAAAGAGAAAAACATTAATGCGTACGTGTAACTTTTGCGGTCGCGGGTTAAGTTTTTGTGTGTCTCTCTTTTGCGGTTAAAGAAAACGGACGAACCAATCCTCATGAGATAATAATAATAAAATAGGCATTTAAAAATAATAAGGTGGCAGGTGTACCAGCGTTGTTTCGTAGATCGTAGAGAGGTCACGGGTTCGATTCTTCACAACTACTTTCGTACTCCATTTGTTCAGTGATATCTTTAAATACGTCGTCGCTTCCCTCTGTATCGAAGGTTTACAGAATTACTGCGGAGTATATGCAAAATATATAAGAGCAAGCAGTAGGCCAAAACTGATTGCACTCGTTTGAATGAGATTGAAAAGATTGTACAACTGTAAAATACAACACATACTTTGCCAATAAAAACAAATAATTTTTTTTAGTGCCGTGGGAGTAATAAACTGCGGGACGCAGTAACCTGAAATTTGCCTAGAATGGGACTCTAGTGATTGGAATAGCACGCGAGTGTTTGAGAACGTGACGTTACCTAGAGAGTGAATCGAAGGGATTGGCGGCTGTTCGAAAGGATGGCATCAATCGGGCTGTGAACATATCGAGATAAAATTTTACTAACAGACATGACTGAGAAACCTTCATTACGGGTATAAACATTTCACTCGACAAACTTACCCGACGCTTCTGAGCCAGAAGCGAAACGGTAATTTTTTTTTCTGCGCGAATTAAAAAAAAAAAAAAAAAGAAAAGTCGGAAGACATTTAAGGACTTCTTACGGGTGGTGAATGCGAAAGCATGAATGTCCAATGGAACGCCGCGGAGTGATCCGAGGAGTTTTGTGGCGCGAGTAATGTTTTCGAGTTGTGGGAGAACATCTCCCGACAATGTGGATGACGGAGGCGACGGCACGTTGGTCGGCGGCGAGACGAGCAGAAGCCTCCGAGCGCGCGCCAACGTGTCCGTTTTAACTGGCGCGGGACCCCGGTAGTGGCATGGGGTTGCGGCGGGTAGTTTTATCGGCGCGCTGGTGGCACGGACACGCAACGCCATCTGGCTGTGGTCGTTGAAACTGACGCGTGCAGCGGCCGATGGAAGCCTCGTCGCCGCGCGCCAGCCAATGGGACCTTTGGGATCAGGGAAACTGGGTGCCGTTTTCGCGCTTCAAACTGATGACGTCGGCTCGATCCATGGGACAGTTAATGTTTTCGCATTAAAAACGACAACGTAACCTATTGATGTAGTTGAGGGTTTCGGTGTCGTGGCTGGGGCACCAAATAACCCCCGTGGAAGCTTGTCTTTGTTGCAATATAGGAAATTATTTTTATTTATTTATTTATTCTGTACCGCCAGCCATTGACACGCCAAGGCAGGGGGGGTACAAATTGAAATAACGAAAAGTGATGTTACACACTCAGACATTAAAACAACAAAATCGAGGCAAGATATTTTAGAAATAAAGATGCGCTTGGACTATTGACTACCCTTTCAAGCAGACTATCCTCAAAGTAACGATAATTTAAACAGATCGAAAGAGTACGAGTAAAAATCAAAATGCCTGCTGCATTTTTTCTTCTAGTACCATGGGGGAAGGAAATTCATATATATATATTTTTCTTGCTTAACATTTGGACATCATTATTAATTATCTGCATTGTGGTTAACTGCCGTCTTGCTCTTCCTTCTAGGTTGAGGGACCCTTCCCGGCCTCCGACGACAACCCGCTGGAGTCATTATGTGCAAATAAACCTTGTCACACCAACAAAACCTTCGTGTTTTTGTGAAGCGCCAAGTGGCTTCCACGCTAAGTAGCTTTGACGTGGTTTCTGAGATGGCCGGTGCGCGAAGCTTCTGGTGGCCGTTCCATTCGTGGGGGGAGGCCGCAATGGAAGATGGTTCGTGATGTACTCCGTTTCAAGTTTCAAGGTACGATGGACCCCAGCGAATGCTACGAGCTATCCAGGCTAATCCAGAACTGCGAACATGTAACGTGACTACACACCCTATGTGTCACTGTCGGCGTCACGTGGTGCAGATGTCACGTGACACTTACAGAGCATAAGATTGGCTTTGAAGGCTCGTAGCGTCCGCGGCGGTTTATTAAAAGGTAAGATGGAGTACATGCGCAGGATGATAGTCCAGTCCTAGCCTCACGCGATATCAGCTGTTCGACGCCTCTGGAATAACAATTCCTGAAGCATCGCTGTATTAAAAAAGAAGGCGGCTATTGACTAGTGTCGCCACGTGGTGGTGCACGTTGTCTAAGAGGGAGAATAATGAGCTTATCTGATGCAGGAGAAGTCAGGTTAAAGGAAGACTCCGGCGATTTTTTTAACTACCCCAACTAACTACATTTTTGGAATCACCGGCCTACTCTTTTTGGTATGCTATTTAGTATCGGGAAATTAAGAATAGTTACTGTGACAGCGGCCAGCGAAAATGATGCCAAAAGCAACATTCAAATAGACCCGAGCTTTTCATTGGCCTGACGTCAGGGGAAGGGAGGCTTGCAGGTCCAGCGGGCAGTCTAGAAATGGACTATGCCGAGCATTTGTTTCATGCTGCAGAGGCTGCTGAGCGGGTGCTGGAGCGAGCTTCCGTAGCATTCGTTTGACACCTTGTAATCAGTCGGAAACAAAGTCTACAGTTCAAAGTGTGAACCCCTGACTTCCCCTGATGCTACTTTTTCATTGTTGCCAACAGAAATTTTCACTTTGAAAAAACATGGTGAGGATCAAAATTGTAAATGAAATAACTTTGGAAAAAAAATGTATATATTTAGGCCCAATAGTTGGATTTCTATTTCAACGATGTTTGTTTGTGTGGTTTGAAAATTTTCAGAAAATTTCCTTTCGTAACACGACCGCCAGCAAGCAAGCCGCGCCCGCGACCATTACGAGCATTCGAGGAACCGGAACTGTGGGAACACTGAGTGGCCGGCGCCAAGGGCTTTTTTGAAGGTCGAGCGGTGGAGCGAACCACGGGAGGAACGGGAGGAACGGGAGGAAGGGTAGAAGGTTGGTAAGAGTGTCAAGACAAGGCACAAGCGGGCGAGGAGGATAAGTCAATTGCCTCCAAGATGTGTTCCTCGGTGGGACTGATTAGGGTGCCTTCATGTGCGCTTTGTTTGGGTGGAGACATCTGGCCATTTTGTTCCGCACGTTTATTTTTCTTTTTTGTTCAGAAGCGCGTGATAGGGCGTGTCCCTGCACGCGTCTGTGGCGCTGACTGTCCTATGGCGACATTTTGTTTTCGTCGATTTCTTTGTATTTTCCCCGTGAGCGCGTGCTGTCGGCATCGGGTACCACAAAGGGCGGCATCACCCTAAACAGAAGGACATCGAGGCACCCTAGGACTGATTGCTGCGCTTCAATTAAAACGTCAAATAAGAACTCGTCCGTCGTCGATCATTTGCCGTCGCTTGTCGACGTTTGTCGCGGGTGTTGGTCGTTACAATGGGACAGCATCCGCGACACGGAACTTCGTCGTGTCGACGGACAAAAATCGGTGTTTGCCGCTCTAGTGGGACGAGGCTATAAGACGCACCGTGTAGAACACCGAAGACAGCGTCGCGCGCTTCTGAGGGACTTCCGCCAGGATGAACGAACCTTCCCTGTCCCGCCTCCTTCCTTCTCTCGTCATGTCTTTCCCTCACCAGACAAGCCCAAACACTCATCCTACCCAATGACGTCATTAAACACCTTGTCGAACAACGTCGTGGCTACCCATCCTTTCCGGTGTGCGGGGGTTAACCCAATTGCAATCCACACCTACTGGACATGCCCCCGTGCGCAGTCATATATCCATTCCACCAGACATGTACAAGTTACTAAAAAAAGTAATTAAGTTAAGTTACTGAGTATCGACGTCAAAAGTTATTTGAGCAGAGTAGAAATTACTCAAATGAAAAGTAATTTAGAAAATTATTAGTTACCGTAAAAAGTAGCGAATTACTTTTGAAGTTACTTTTATATATTTTATAGTAAAAAGAAAGTACAGAGGTTTTAATCTGTTAGCGAAATTGTGCTAGTCAAATATGAATCGGCTTGCTTGTTTTTTTCACAGAAATGCTTTAATAGCTGGTTCTGCTTCTGCGTGCCTAATTGTTTTGTACTTTCTTCTTTGTTTGGTCAATGATGTACTGCGAATGTGTCATTTCTACTTTGAGGTTTAGCACTGTCTGAGCCTCATTTTTCAGACAGCGTTTGCTTGTTTACAGTGTTGCGAAAAGTACATCTAAAAAGTACTTGAAGTAAAGTACAAAGTAAATGAAAGGCTACGTACTTCAAGTAAAGTAGTAAGCACACCGGGTGCAATGTACTTGAAGTAACGTATATAAATGCAATATATTTCAAGGTAAAGTACAAGCACTTTTAACACAATCTTTCATGATGCCCTTTCATTCCCTATACAGTGTTTTCTTTACTGGTATCAATGCTCCAGGGGTAATCGGAGGTGGATCAGTTTTTTTACGGAAACGGAAGCAAATATTGTATAAGGTCATATCACCGCAGAGTAGTTGTTTTACTTGCGCTGACGAGCTATTTGATACAATCCACTTATAAGGCACTTATTTCCATCGGTTTTAGAGCCGCCATTACTTCACTCAGAAACATGACCAGAGACGTCTCAAAAGAGCGCGTTTTCACACGACGATACTGCCATTTTTTGTTTTCAAATTTAAGGAATGTACATTGAAGTCGAGAGTTTTACTTTCCTCGGAAAATACAAGTACATGTTCAGAAAATTTACGTCAAGTAAAGTATAATTTTTCTAAAGAGTAGTATTTTAGGTACCATGTACATAAAGTACTTCCCAACACTGCTTGTTCATAATTTTTTTATATAAAAAAGTTGGGAGAATTACTACTGGTTTCTCGAACAATCTTTGAATCTTTGAAGATCTGCATATTTTGAGTTTTGGAAGGAAAGACAACGCAAAAAGGTAATCTTTGTGTTGCCCTTTAGCACGCTATTGTTCAAGTACAGCACAAACTACGGAAGCACCAGATGAGTTTCAGAGCGGGTGCTGCATTTTTTTTCCTCCCTTGAGTAAGGATGCAGCGTCTGCATTTCCTGTAATGGGAGAGAGTTTCTACGTTGGGGAGGAGCGGGGACCAGCCCTTTCTTCAAATGAGTCAAGTCTCCTTGAGCTTTGGTACAAAGAGAAACGCCAGTCTTCGGCGCTAATCCTCAGTTACTCGGCCTCTTTTGCGTTGTGTCCGTTCGCTCCCCGCTCATCGTAGCAGTGTTGTTCCAGGGGGGGGGGGGGGGGGGGGGGGGGGGGAGCTCTTCTAACATCGTATCTCCTTTGTGCAGGAATGTTTGTATAGGCAAAACAACCACTAAAATCCGAAAGTAATTTTTAATTTGAGTAGAAGTTACTCAAAAAAAGTAATTAAAGTAAACTAATAGTTACCGAAATAAAAATGTAATTGAAAGTTACTAAACCACTCAGAAAAGTAGTTAAACTACAGTAACTTGAGTAGAGTAGTTGAACTACGTACAAGTCTGGTTCCACCTAACCTCTTCTCCCCTAGCCCTTTCCACGCACGTTAACTGGGAAAGCTAAACTCCCCCCCCCCACCCCCCCCCCCCCCCCCCCCGGTCAAGCACAATTTACTCTTTGGCCCCATCTAGTTACCCACATCCTTTAAATCAATGCACCAAACCGCCGACCCCGTTACTGGCATTTTCCTGATACCGGCAACATACGACGATGACGCGGATCAAGTGTCATTTTAAGGCCCGACCCACAAAAGTTTTCCCGCAAGGTAGAAAAATACTCCTCGCTATCTTTTATCTTCCCCCCCCCCTCCTCCTAGATGGTGAGGGGACCCGTTCTGTTGCTGCATCTTGGGGCTGGATAAGGCGGGATAAGCACCTGGTTTATCCAACCCTATGATACCGCAACTAAGAGACCCCCTTCGTCCAGATAATTTGAGGAGGTAAAAAAACGGAAAGGATGGGGAGGAGGATGCGGTAAATTATTTCAAATTATTTGGTAGGTCGGTCTTTAAATAAAGTTATCGCGCTCCCTCTCTATATCACCTTCTTAAACCACATTTAGAACTTCAATAGCTTCGCGGAAAAAACAATTTCTTGTGACTCGCGATTTCGCTTGCTGGTTCAAATGAGGTTATTATAATGCTGATCCAATTTTGAAGCACAACCGTGACTATATCAACATTTCAGCGGAGCTTCCCTTTAAGAAAACGCTTGAAATTTGAAACTCGTATTTACCAAATCGCGGTATGGACAGTGCAAGGCGATAACCGACCACCGCTCACGAGGATTTCTGTTCTGAAAGAAGGTTATCAAAATAAATTGTGCCGTAAATTCTTTTCTTTACTACTAATGCAAGTGAATACGCAAAAGAAAAAGCTTCGTTTTTTATTATTATTTCTCTGCAGCGTTTTAGCAACTGCCTATTGAACGCAAGTAAAACAAGCGAAAGAGAAGGGGCGAGATAGAAAGATAAAGAGTGTGAGATAGAAAGAGAGGGTACAAAATGCAACGCTGTGGCGCAATTTCATCTCTCCACGAGAGTTCTGAACTTGTAGATTGTTTAGCGCAAGCCCCATGATGGTCTCGTTACTATGGTCAAGCACACATATACAGACACAATTTTCGTTAACGAATTGGGTGAATGCATGCATTTTTTTTCTTTGCTATGGAGAACTCAAATTATGAACGAATTTTGTGGGGGAACGGAGGGGCTTATATTGTTAATAGCGGCGAGATGTTTTGGTGGCGCCCTCCTGTGGT